AAGGGAAGATGCTTTTACTCACATTTTACTGATGCATAAATACCTCAGACATGTACCTCCTCACAGAGACAGAGGAGAGTTGTACCTCTACAGGGACACCAGAAAGATATGTCTCCCCACAGGGACATATGACAGATGAACCTCCTCATGGGAACACAGGACAAATTAACCTCCTCAAAGGGACACAGGACAGATGGACCACCTCAGAGGGACCCAAGAACGATGCACCTTCTCACAGACCACAGGAGGTACATGTGAACCAGAGCTTCACCTCCAGAGCCACCTTTCCTGTGCTCAAGTTCTGGTTAGGCCTCTTACAGCTCCATGATCTGGGAAATCCCTGGGTCTCTGTTTCCTCAATAGTCAGATAATCAAAGTTAATATTACCTCAGAGGGCTTTTACTGGGATTAAAAGCCTCAATCCAACACTTATATAGCACCAAGGCCACAGTAAGCCCTCTGTGCTGGCAATGACCATCAATATTGGTGCTGGGTCATTACACAAAATGAACATAAATTGTGAGTTACTGCAGGATGACACACAGCTTTTTGAAAGGAGGAGTGGGGAAGAACCACAGGTCATATTCTTTGGGGATTCCATCTTCTCACAAGGTTAAGAGATACAGGGTTAACATCAGAACCTATTACAAATTATAATGATCCAGTTTCTTTATGAGGCCAGCATGCACCTCTGTTGGTTGAAGAAAACCTGAGATATTAATAGTTGGTACAAACACTGTGTGGATTATAACTCCTCGCTTCCTTCCTTCCTTCCTTCCTTTCTTTCCTTCCTCTTTCTTTTTTTCTTTCTTTCTTTCCTTTTTTTTGAGAGCAATAAGCTTTTATTCCATCAATGAGAGCACAGAAAAAGCAGAAAACAAATCTAGGATATAGTACAAGTTGTGTGGGGCCTCAAGAGCCAGGGATTCTGAAATATAAACTATAAAGCCACAAAGACATTCTATAGTTCTCTGGAGTTAGCAGTTAGAAAGAGGAATCCTTATTCTTTAATGAGAATTAGGAGGAAAATAGACTTTCAAAGTGGATCACCTGGCACTTTTTTCAAGTGGGTTACTATACCCGGTGTGTGTGTCTCCAAGGTGGCGCCAGCTTTGGGATCAGTTTTTAGGGGATTGTATACTCTAAAATTCTGCACAAGAGCAGCACAGTTTAACTTCTTCTTTTCAGCAGCATTTTTTGCAAGTCTAATTGAACAGACAGTCCGAGTTTTTGGCTGACCTCTTTTCATTTTACACACCCTTGGGCAATAGGAGAAATGAAAGCTGAACTCTGTGTGTTTGTGTGTGGAGTGCCTTTGCATGCCGCATGTGCATGGGTTGGAAATTGGGGGAAACGGCGCAATTTTCTTTAACCCCATCAGTGCTGCAGTCCCTGAAATGACAGAAATTTTGATTTCATTTAGCATGTCTTTCAAAAGATGGCCCTGGCCCTGTAAAGACACAGGATCCCGTTAAGGTAGCCCCCGGTGCACCACTCCCCCTCTGAAATCTTTGCCTATTTTTGTTACATAGATATCATTTCACCCGTTGGACCTAAAATTTGAAAATTATACCATATTTATTACACAGCCTGAGGACAAAAGTAAATAGCTGTAAATGACCTTAAGATTCAGCCACTAAACTGCATTTAAAATGAAATTTCAGTACATTTGACACACTGGTTATTCTAAATCCAAATTCAACTTGGCATTAAAATGAAAGTCAGAGAAAGCACAGCTGCCTTTTTTTAAAGCTATCATTCACCAAAGTTCTGAAGGTGTCTGGGACAAAGAGAGAGTTCTTTGGTCAAAGCCACAGGGACATCAACTAAAGTTGATGCTCTCTCTCACCAGAGTGAACTGCTCACTGCTTCTCCCAAGGCCAGGGTCAGGAAACCTAAAGTTTCTTTGAAGTCAAGAGTTGACTTTATTTCCATTCAGTTATCTTCTTGCGAAGAGCAGGGGTCCAGGCGCAGACTGAGCTCTACCAGGCTGGCAGACACCAACACGTGTGCCCTCACGTGGGAGAATGTGCGATTCTTCTCCCAATACTTCATAATGGGTGAACCCCGTTTACACCATTGCCTCCACAAAACCTTATTTTCTGCATGATTTTACTTTCAGTTTGGGCAAATAAATTCATTTGAAAAATGACCTTTACTTTCAGTTTGGGCGAATAAATTCATCTGAAAAATGACCCTAGGCAAAATTGGCAGGTGATGCAGAGAGTTCTTCCTCTTGGAGAGATTCAAGACACACACAGATTTTCATATCCAGTGTAAAAAGTGGGATTAACATAGTGAATGCCTAACTCTTCGTCCTCATTTTCAGTTACACTAGGTTAACTAAAGGATTAAGAAAACCTGACCCCCCACATCATACACCACACCTTGGGTTGAACTCTATGCCAACACTGCCTCCAAAACACAGATGAAGTTGGTAAACCCCCAAAAGTTAGTATCTACTAGGTAATGCTCAAAAGATCATCCTGACATAATCTAAATTCTTCACATAAAAACCTGTGCCTATCTATCAGAATCAGATATATCTCTCCAATCTATACTCTTCTCAAAGGAATTTCTTGATTCAGGTTCACTCCCTGGATTTGTGTGCTTGCCCAACCAAGATTGCAGCTATCCACCAATTTTTCAACTCCCTTTCCTTTTGAAGGGAGTTTTGGAGCATTATGCAGGGCTCTCCATATGTTGCTTTAGGAGAACCCTGGGTAGGCCACTATTTGTGGTAAGTCTGTCTATACCCCATATCATTCAGACATCATTTACATGTCCACTCCCCCATCAGACCCAGGTTTTGTGCCCTCACGTGGGAGAATGTGCAATTCTTCTCCCAATACTTCATAATGGGTGAACCCCGTCTACACCATTACCTCCACAAAACCTTATTATAGTCGAAATGACATCTGCACTTGTATGTTCATTGCTGCACTGTTTACAATAGCCAAAATCTGGGGAAAAAACCCAAGTGTCCAAGATCAGATGACTGTTAAAGAAACTTTGGTACATCTACACAATGGAATACTATGTAGCAGTTAGAAAGGATGAAGTCATGAAATTTGCAAACAAGTGGTTCTACATGGAAAGTATGAGAGAAATGAGTCAGAAAGAGAGTGACAGACATAGAAAGACTGCACTCATCTGGGAAATATGAAGTAACAGAATGGGAGACGAACACCTAAGAATAGTTGAGATAAGTACCAGTAGGTCTGCTCCATGGTTTGGAAGCCTACCAGTAGGTCTGCTCCATGGTTTGGAAGCCGGCAGCACATGATGGGAGAAAATGCAGCTCAGATATAAAAGGGAAGGCCAAGCAAAGGGTGTTTGGAGGACTCACTCGGGATGCGAGACGCACACTGAAAGTAGACTATAGACCAAACACGATGGTCACCCAATACCTCTATTGCAAACCACAACACCCTAAAGGAAAGAGAGAGCAAAAGTGAATGCCCTTCCATAGAGGTGGGGTGGGGGGATGGAGGGAGTGGGAGGGCTACTGGGTTCATTGATGGTGGAGAATGGGCACTGGTAGAGGAATGGTACTTGATCATTGTATAACTGAAACCCAAACACAAAAATACATAAGTCTACAACTGTACCTCATGGTGTTTCACTAATAATAAATAAATAAATAGTCAGAGCGACCTTTATTGATAAAAGGGGCTTTTTCATTTTTTTCTCCTCTCTTCCTTCATTTATCTTTGTATGCTATCTCTCCTTTACTCTCTACAATACTGGTTGCATTTGAAATTATGCTTGGACTATAAGCTTTCTGGATAACATAACTCTTACACAACACAAGGAAGAAAGAAATGGATCAGTAAGATTCACTTTATTGCCTTTAATTGGTGCTCTATTCTGCCAATATAACATGACCTTCACAGAAGCTGGGAGCACCAATTTCTCCTGCAAAGATAACCAGCCAAGACACAAATCTAGACTAGACAAATTGAACTCACAGAATACTTGCTGAATCCTTTCAGCCTGGTATTCTTAGTCTAGAAAGAATCCTTGGCTATATTTCATGGAACAAAATGACCAATAAAATCCAGAATAAATGATTCCCAGTGGAGGGCTAGAGAAATAGTACAGGAGGTGAAGCACTTGCCTTACATGTGGCTCATGTGGCTGATCCCTGTTTGATCCCTGGCACCAATTATGATCCTCTGAGCCTCACCAGGAGTGATCCCTGAGCACAAATCCAGGGATAAGCCCTGTGCACAGCCAGGTGTGGTCCCCAAACAAATAAGAAAGATTCCCTAAAGAGAAGGGGAAATGATGATATGGTATCACCTGAGAGTTTTCAAACCCCCATCTGTCCAGGGGGAATGAGAATTTCTGAGAAGGGTAACTGTGGCTATTTCTTGATGAAGTTCCTCCAGAGCTGCCATCATGTACACACATAAATCCCTGGCTTAAATTTCATGTCCTGAGAAATCCTATTAAATCATCCACACAACTATCACCTCTCTAGTTTTCCCACCATCTCCTGGATAGGATAATGCCACCTGTGCTTTGAATCGGAGAATGATGAGAGGGGATCAAGAAACTCTAGAAGATCTATGCTTCTCACCAATGGAGCTCCCCACATAGCTGGGATGACGGATGACGTTTCCATTCTGCTTTTCCCAAAGATGTTAAACAAATCTTGTTTTTTGTTTTTTGGTTTGTTTGTTTGTTTTTTTCAAAAAAAAAAAAGATGTGATGACGAGGTGAGTCTCAGTCGTACAATGACTTGCATGCATGAGACCTGAGCTTGGTCTCCATGTCTCATGTTGACAAATAAAATGTGCTCTGATCTTCATCATATTTGCCTCCACTGAGAGAACAAGAGTGAGCTCTGTGGAAGGAACAACCAACCAGGGCCTTTACCCTGACTGTGAAAGTGCAGACTGCTTTCTGTCAACATAGAAAATTCTAAAACAGTAGAAAGGCTTTTTCTAAAACGTGACCTAGTGGAGCTTTAACACAGCCCAGAAGGAAGTTACCTGATACAGTTCAATCCGCTGCTCAGGCACTCGGGCTTTTGGATTCTGCAAACGGAAGACTCTGAACTCTGCTTTCACCAAATTGGAAGCATTCTTCTCCATCGCTGAGACATCAAATCGAACAATTCTGAAGTAAGGTCTGTAGAAAGTAGGCGGGATGACATCTGTAAAGAGTTAGGGCAATCATTGAAAATCATCAAGTCCATTGTTCTCTCATGAAAGATCGTGCAGCACAAAGATACACTCAACAAACCATAAGGGAAATAGCTACAGAATGAGTTTGTTTCCAATGGTCAATTTAATACCATTAACAATTTAACCAGAAAAAGAAATAAACATGTGCGTTTGGTTACAGGAGTAGCAGATTAATGGAGATTAACAAACCACTTCCAACTCCATTTGAGGGCATGCAGTTAACCCTATCCTTTGAGAATTGACAGAGTGGTGGAAAATCCTAGATGGTTATGAATTGGAACAAGTTCATGACAGCTGATGTCTGGAAAGAGCTATCGGGCTTTCAGACACTTTAATCAGATGTGCCAAGAAAATAGCTCCTAATGGTAAGCAGTTTGCCCATGTATTTTTTTTCCTTGAAATTTTGGCATTCAAATACTCTACTCTATCCAGGTTCATGCACTGCATCTTTTCTTGGCTTCAATAGTTTTTGGTTTTTCACACACATAACCTCAAGTTAGGGTGAGGAATTTTGATTTTTTTTAAGAAAAATGCCTATAAAACCCACATATTGCCTATACCAAGTTTAGTCTTAAAATGCTTTATTCAGAATAAATTTATTGGCTGGCAAAAAAGCTGGCCACTAAATAGAAAGAATCAGCCCCAAGTCAGAATCATTTCGGAGTCCTGTGAAATAAAAAAAAAAATGCAGACAGTACATAACACTTTCAAGTGCACAGGTCACTAGATATTATGGTTATTAATTTTTTATCAATTTCTAATTTCCTTTGAATGCCATTGAGGCTACACTCAAACATGTCCTAGTCCTGCCTCTCAGTTCATGTACAACACCCAGAAACTGAATACATACTGGGCACACCTCTTGTGATAGCTCAAAATCTACCATTCTCTTCCGAAATCTCCTGCAAACCTACTTGAAAATAAATAAATAAACATGGAGGGTTCTGGAATGGTCCACCCCATTATTTCTCTACTGATAGTATAAGGCCCCCCCTGGAGCACCAGAATATTAGGATATTCCAAGGGGGGGCATAGGTAAAAAATCATAAGAAGGAGATTAGGCAGCCAGCTTTAGGATAGGGGCAGAGAAAATAAATAAGGTCAGAAGGGGACCTAAGAAGAGAAAAGGCTGAGAAACATGGGTCCACCAGTACCACTGACTCTGTTCTTTCCAATGCTTTCCTCAATGATGAGATTCCAGTGCAACAGGTTAATAGCAGTTATTTAAGGCTGTTTACAAATATTTCTGTGACTTCTGAATTAAGTTTGCTTATTTGGCACCCCCTCACCACCCTCCCATAAAGTTTTGTGAAACTTGGGGGCGGAAGATGACCTTGTCCATATCTTTCATTTGCTCCCCACTATTCTGGAGAGGACCCTGCACCACAGAAGTATACCAAATGTCCACCGTTTGCATACTTGGTCATCAACAGTAGTTGTGAAAGACTAGGACCATTAGTCTAAGTTACTCAGTGAGTGTGCCACCTCTCCTATCCTAAAATAGAGGTGAATACCTTACATGAGTTCTGGGGAAGCCAACCCTGGTGGTTTCACTGGGGGGAGAAGCACATCAACACCAGGTCCTCTAGGAACCTGGTTTCTCTCTCTGGCCCTGCCCCATCTCTTGTGCTGTCTCCAGGGACACTGTGAGAGCAGTTCAAAGGAAATGGCACCTTTTGAGTCATGCTTCTGACCCTGAAAACTTCCGAAAACCATGGTGTGAGTCAAAAATTTGTAGAAAATCAGAAACTTCTGAAACCAACCCATCCACAAGACTCCAAAAATGATGCAAATTTTGCAGAAAAGTATCTGTCTTCAGTAACTCATGCCATGGTACTGCTTGAAGATGGCATGGGGGGATGCAGCGGCAGGAGGGGGGGGATGATGCTGGCAGAAAGTTTTCAGAAAAGCATAACTTCTACCAGCAAAACAAAAAAAGAAAATTACAGGAGCCCCCTGGCATAGCCACTTGAAAACCTGAGGAGAAATCTATCTTTCTTCTCTCCAGAACCTGCCCAGCCATGGCATACAGGGTGCCACTCCCTGCCAAGACAAGTTGAAAACAGTCTGGCGCCTGCATAAAGAAGACTGGGCAGCACTATTTCTGCCTGTGCAGTTTCACAAACCTTCTGGTTGGACCAGAACCTTCTACAGGGTCCTGAGAAATTCACCTTCACCTGGCTTTCCTGTCAGACAACAATGCCTCCTAAAGGAACAAAGCAGAGTCAGAGTCCTCTCATTGAGGAGACAGCCTCTCTTTTCTCTTCTGATCCACATACTGTTTCCTATCCCTTCTGTTTACACAAATACCCATCCTTGCAGGTTTTTTATGCCACCACCTAGATTTAGAAACCTCATAGAGATCATCTTAGTGCTGGATGCAATTTCCCTCTAAGGGTCCAGCCAACCCGAGACATCCTTGGGTTATTTTGTTCAAGCACCTATCTGCTTCCAAGATTGGAGACCAGACCTGGGCTCTAAGCATCTGTTGGATTGGGCTAGAGAGGATGTTTCTGGTGATTCTCAGGACCCCATAGGATGGAACCCCTCATGAAGAGAACAGCAAACTCAGCATAAATAAGCAATGGGTTAGACACAACAAATCCCATGAGAGGCCCCTTCACTGAAGTTCTGACTGTAAGCCCAGAGAGTAACATGCTAAGTTCCAACTACAGAGCATCTTCACATAATTCACAAGAGTTAAAAAATACAGGGACTGTAAACACAGCCCTCCAAGATGGAGTGCTCTCACCTATAGGAACAGTCCAGATGGGGGGTGGGGCACATGGGACCTCACCTAACTGAGCTCTGCCATCATCTTGCCTTCATGTTCTCCATCGCTGGAGGCCCCCTGGGAGTCATTTTTCTCCTCAATATCTGCTGCACTAGGCAACTGTCACTCACTGCCTGCCCTGTCTGGGAATAGCCGCCAGGTCTTTCTAAGCCAACTCCTTCCAGTCAAGTCCAGGAGCTCCATGACATGCAGGTTTATCTCTGCCCTCCACACTGTTCTGCATGCAATGATGTGACATTTCCTTCCCAGTCCTCAGTGTCAGGAACTGGTCATGAATAAATAAAATCAATCTGTACCCTCCGTCCATGTCCTAACAAAGAACAGTGTGGTCTTACTTGGACATCCCCCCACCCCACCTTGGACATCGCCCCACCCCACCCCTCCAATACGCACACACACATACAAACACACACACATATACATACACACACATATATACATACAGTTCCTGTATTCTCTTTCCCTTACTGCAAAGAAGGTGCTCTGAATCCCCACTTCATGAACTGGAAGAAAATCCAGAGGCCAGGAGATGGCAAAGCAGGTAGAGCAATCCTCTCTTACATGCAGCCAACCAGGGCTTGATCCCCAGCATCCCATATGGGCCCCTGAGCATGGCTGGGAGTGATTTCTGAGTGCAGAGCCAGAAGTAACCTCTGAGCATTGCCAGGTATGGCAAAAACACAAACGAACAAAAAATCCAGAGTGAGGACAGTGAAATTTCTGTTGACTAGGGTAAAAGCAAGCATGTTTGGTCCAGTGCCAGCTCTGGTTTCCCACTACATAGTCTGACACTGGGCAGAGAAGAGGCCCCAGAGTTGAAGGCATAAACCATCTCAAGCAGAAACGCCAACATCCAACACCTGTATTTGAGCATTGAAATGCAACAGCGGACAAAAGAGAGTCCGTTTCTCTCACCTAGATATCAGTTTGACCTTGCAATAAAGCTTGAGAAATCCTTTACAAATCCATAACCTCGTGGAGTCTCCTCTAAAATCCTGGCCTGTTTTGGGGGCTTGGGGTTCAGCATGGAGTGAAGATCCCCACCACCAGAAGTGTTTTGTTAATAGCAGAATTGCTCAGAAGCTTCTGGACCTGCATAAACATTGCATTGTTCACACTCTTCACCCCAAAAGACTCTTATCCCAAGCCCTTTAATGAACAAAAACAGCTCCTCTGTTGCAGAAAGACCTGTACATTCCCTGCCATGTGGCAGTAATGGGTGTGGACTCTCCACCTGCTAAAAGGATGCAAAGACCCCCCACCTCCCTGACATGCACAGCTTTGAGGGAAGCAATTTTGGTGTCATTAGAAACCCCCCAGAGTGTAGCAAGACCTAAAAGACACTGAATAGTCAGAGGGCAGCAAATCAGTTGCTCTTAAGTGCACATATCTACCCACCTAGCTAGCAACCAAGACAATCGTGTTTGGGTGTTTTGTGAAATTTGTCTTGGCACTCTGAATCTGGACTTTATTTTACTACTACATCCTAAACACTGCTGACATTCAAGTCACAGCAATTTAGCACAAAATTACTGAGAAATAAATAGCCCATCAGCCCGGTTTTCTGACTTTCTCTCCTACCATCCCTCTGATAAAGTATAACTTAGCACTTGAGCCTCCACGATTTTACTAGGAGCCTCTGTGTACGTCAGGGTTGAACCTGACATGCTGTTGGCAGTTGGGAGATGGACTATGTCAGTCTCAGCATAAGTCTATGCCTTGGCCTCCATTGAGCTGCTATTTGGGACACCATGTACTATCAACCAGAGTGCCTGGAACCTCCTGGGAGAGGGTACAAGAGTAGGAAACTAACAGTGAGCCAGCCCAGAGGCTTCTTCCATGGCAATTACACTTGGGGTTTCCAGTTTCTACTCCAAAGTTTCCATCACCTTAATAACAACATCCCTCCACACCCTCATCCCTTTTTCAACCCAGCTACTTTGTACATATCTCAGCCTGTGCAAGGTTCACAGACCAACTGCTGCTCTATGTTGGGATTCAGCAGAAGAACCTTGGTGGCAACTCTCAGGCTGGAAAGCCAAGAGCTGACTTGGAGACAACAGGCCGAGGGAAGAGGTGTGTGGACACAATTTGTTGTCCATGAATGGAGACACAGCCTTTTGGATGGGCTCACAGTGGCAAACTCTAATAGCTCCAAGGTAGGACCAGGCAATG